TAAGCCTCTTAAATTTCTCTAACTAGAAATATATGTAAACAAAACAAAAACAATTTTTATTTTTTTTGTAGTTTATTGCACTTTTTTGCAATTTATGTAATTACTATGCACTTAATGCATACATATTATTAAAATCTGGGCTATAATGGTTGTATTGATGTATAGCAACTTGAAATGCTCCCAAAAATGGCTCCACAGCAGGTAAAAATATAATATAATCTCTGGCGGACTCGGTTCTATGGTAGGTCTTAAAGGGTTAAATGTGGATTTGATGCTTTTCACTCCCAAAGTCTGGGATTTAAAAAGGACACGTCCCTCACATCTGGACAGTCCAGAGGATGAGACGATATTTCTCTGTCGAGAACCTCAGAGCTGCTCTTCTCCTCCCAGCATCAGCAGTGAGCAGCACGCGAAACATAAACAGCACGGTCAAAGTGAGGTTTGGTGTAAGTGCTGAGCCCTGCTGCTCTCACACAGGATCGTTTTCGCTGTGTGAACGTTGCAAAGCAAAGTTGCTCTCTGCAGCACACTGTCCCTGAACCACAGAGGAAGGATGTGTTTGAGCTGTTTTCTGCAGAAGTCTGGTAGCTCCAGAGTTTCTCACCCAGCATGTCTTTAAACACAGTTTGCTTGGCGCTCTGACTGAAGTGTGAGCTGCGTGCAGCGCCTGTATAACCAACTGCCGTGCTGGTGGGTGGAGGTTTGGTGGTCAGGATCATTTCTCTGTTGCTGGAGGATGATGTGCTGGCTGTTGGCATTAGCCATAAAAGGGTGGAGTGTCCCCTCCAAAGGCCCCTCGAGGCCCCGGGGCAGTCTGGGAACATCTTGCTGTTGCCTCAGAGGAGGCAGGAAGAGGAATGTCTGCTGCCCACACGGCCCGGACAAGCTGCAGGAAACGGGTGAATGGACAGACTGTCCAACTGAGACTAAGCTCCACCACTGTGGGACAGAACAAGTCAGCTGCTCTTTTCTTTTTCTGCTGTTTGTGTCCGAAAACGTGGAGGAGGCACAAAGTTAGTGTGAAAATAGGCTGAAAACACATTTAAGTGACCTCAGACTGCTTTAGATTCACCCAGTGTCCCTGCTGAAGTCAGCTCTTTATGTAATAACTGACTTTATCATCATCTTTTAAATTAAAGATCCGTTGAATTAAGAGTGTGTGTGTGTGTGTGTGTGTGTGTGTGTGTGTGTGTGTGTGTGTGTGTGTGTGTGTGTGT